TTTTCCAATCTTCTATTGTCCAATTTCGATGAGCTTGTGCAAATTGTAGCCTCAGTTTCCTGTTCTTAGCTGAAAGGAGTGGCACCCTGCTGCTGTATCCCATCTGCCTCAAAGTTCGACGTACTGTGCATTCAGAGATGCTCTTCTGCCTACCTTGGTTGTAACGGGTGGTTATTTGAGTCACTGTTGCCTTTCTATCAGCTCGAACCAGTCTGGCCTTTCTCCTCTGACCTCTGGCATGAACAAGGCATTTCCGCCCACAGAACTGCCCCTCACTGGATATTTTTTCTTTTTCGGACCATTCTCTGTAAACCCTAGAGATGGTTGTGCATGAAAATCCCAGTAGATCAGCAGTTTCTGAAATACTCAGACGAGCCCTTCTGGCACCAACAACCATGCCACGTTCAAAGCCACTCATATCACCTTTCTTCCCCATACTGATGCTCGGTTTGAACTGCAGGAGATTGTCTTGACCATGTCTACATGCCTAAATGCACTGAGTTGCTCCATGTGATTGGCTGATTAGAAAATTAAGTGTTGATGAGCAGTTGGACTGGTGTACCTAATAAAGTGGCCATGAGGGTATATATATACCTGTATATACACTGTATATACACATATAAAATGTGTGTGTGTGTGTGTTTCTAATCATTTCTGCATCCTATCACAAATGCAGCTCAAAAGCTACATTAACATGGTGGGTCAAGTCAGGAAATGATATCGGGAAAAGGGAAAACCTTGAAGAACCTATGACAGAAACACAAAGACCGTTAAATCCTTTTTATTTACAAGTTGGAGCGCTGACTTTGGGGCATTATTCACATTCCATTGTTTATTTCGAGTTGGCGGTGCATTTGAGTCGTCCATCTGCATATATATGACAGTGACAATAAGAAAAAGAAAATGTATAAAAAGCCGTGGGCTGACTTACAACATGGCACCCTCGTGAGTGAGCGGTTGGTAGCCCGCTGAGTGACAGCGAACACGCAATATTCTACCTGTACAACTATTCACATTCGATCACTGTACATATTTACAGAGATCACATTAGGGAAAGAGCCAGTACCTGAGGAATTAAGTCTCACAATTAGCATTACTCATTTGCTGTGGTAAAAATGTGCACAGCCAAACAATGGAAGCCGGAGCAACGCAGAGCAAGATGAAGATTTCACAGCAGTGCAAATTTGATGTGCAGGTGATGAGTGAGCTCCAGCTGGTTCAAAAAAATTTAAGACATGCTCCTAACCAAGTTTATATTTGAATATTATCGATATTTTACAGATAATTTACCTGAGGCTTAGTCTTCAAGCCCCACCTCCACATTGAAACGAGCACTTTTTCAAATGGTTGCTGCCAACCTCAGCAAAAGAGCGGATTAGACTGTTAACGGTGAAATTTTCCGCAAGCACTTTATACGTCACTCGCCTGCAGTTGTTATAGTATGTTTTCATCAATGGTTGTTGAGGCCTCTGGAAAAAACAACAACACTCCTCTAGGATACATCAGGTGAACTGGCATGCTTTCAGAAAAAAAAAAGATAGGAAGGTATAAACAACTGAAGCAATTGCCAGCAGCCTTCATTGTCCCCTCTCTTCAAAACACAGAAACTATACATGAAAAAACTAATTGGTCAATGAAACCTACCATTTGACGGCACACAGGAACAAACACCTCATACATGTGCAGCATTTCTCTCAAGGATGAAACGTCAACCAAATAAATAATTCATAACAGCGCCAAAAGTAATTAAATAACAATCATTGTCTCAGTTGAAGATCACAGGAAGCGTGATCCACTCAAAGCAGTCAAACGTCCATTTTACAAATGTGTGAAAAAGCCTGGCTCATTTACTGTAAGTCCTCCTGGTGCTCAGCAGATTGTTATTTCAGCAAACGGTTCAAGCTCCAATTCCCGAACAACTCAAACACTGTCTTCTGAAAACACGACAATCATAAAACACTTTTCTTTGGACGCTGCTCACCGATCACCCCTCCCCGTTAAAATCACATTAATGAAAAAAAAAAAAAAAAGAGGAAATGTATTCTCTCACTTGTGGCTTGATATCACGGTCATTTTGAGGAGCTGCGAAGTGCCGCAGACAGCGGTCTATCATACATGAGGTGGGGGCTTTGGATTTGGTACTTTGCAGCAGCTTTATGTGATCTATAAATGTAACGAGTCTAGTTTGGGGGCACTAAGCCTTGTAGCAGTTGGTCTGTGAGGTAAGTGCTAGCTGACCGTTGGGTGCCACTTCGTTGGCCTCATCCTCCAAGAGGCCTGACACATCGGCGTTGGGAATGCTGTCGTGATAGCTGCTGAAGCTGATGTTGTCCTCTTTCAATTCGATGGTCCAGAAAGGCGCGTTGAGTTTCCGGTTCTGGTATTCTCTGTAAGTGTACACCCCGCCGACAAAGCCCAAGAGCACGACCACCACCAGGATGATGACGGCCAAGATGATAATGTTGAACTGTGTCCAGGAGACGTCGGTCAGAGCTGCCGTGGTATTGTCGGTAGGGCTGCTCAGACTAGTCAGCAGGGCCTGAGTGGTGGCGGCCGTGCTCAGTGTCGCGCTCCAGTTGCCGCTGGATGTGGAGGCAGCAGGCATGATGCCTCTTGGTCTGGTGGAGGTCACACTGCTGCTGGAGGATGAAGCTGTACTGGAGGAAGTGGCCTCTATTTTGGGCCGACCTGCTGGTGTGGGAATACGCTGAGCCGCTGAGGAGAGAAAAAACATTCAGCAATTGCATCTTTTCTTGATTCAACAGTCAAGGTTTGCTCATTTACAGAAACAGCCGCCACACAGTTTTTCTCATCATGAAGCGTGCCACCATTGTCCTGTCGAGAGTCCATGTGGCGTATGCCTGGTAAAAGCTGACACCCAGTGGTCAAAAGGCCAAACTGCTGAACTAAATACCAGAGATGAGAGGTACAGTACTTTGCCAAGTACATCGAAAGTTTCATTTCAGTTGTTGCTGCTGAAGGTGGATCAACCAGTTGTTCGGTTTCGGGGGCAATTGCTTTTCATACAAGTTCAGGGAGTTTCTTTTTTTAGAAAGACATGTTTTTCATTCTTTTCAATGTGAGAAGATTACATTCGGTGAGATTATTACACCTTTAACCCTTTGAGGGTTACTACAGCGGACACAGTTTATCATATTATCAGGTTACAGGGTGCATGAACGGGTTAAACAATGTGGGTAAAACCCAGATGACTGTCATGATTCGGTTTGGGACCAACAGGTGGCACTGTAGGGCTTCCCCTGCAGCTGCACACCTGTTGGTCATTAGGTAATTTGTGCTTTAAAAGGACTCCCAACCCGACCACTCATTGTCGGGTCATTGTTGCTCTTTGCTACTGTCATGTTTGTTTGTTGCAGTTTGTCTGCTGCTGTCAGGTTTGTTTCAGTCACAGTTCTGTTCTAGCTTCAGTTGTGATTTTTGTTTGCTATTTTGGACTTTGTTTGTTTTGGATTTAGTTTTCTCTCTGTTTCAATACACTTCTTCAAGTACACCCTGCTCCTCCCTCCTGCCTGCTTTTTTGGGGTCCACCACCACCTCACATCGTGACAATGACATTAGTTTTAATTACAACAAGTGAGTTAAAGACAGACGGCGGCAGTGCTACGTGAATACAGTATATATGGAGCAAAGTGCAGTCCGTAGGGTAATAATAATTCTGCCCCCCCCCATGCATTTCCCTTCAGGCTGGGCTCAGCGACAGGTCTGTATGTGTCCCCAGTGCTAGCCTCACAACACTAGCCTCCTACAAAATTTAAAATTGTATTCACAATCCTTCTGCCGACTTTTAAAGCACTAAATATTCAAATACCATTAACCTTAAGCAACTCCTGCTGCCCGACCAACTGACTTGAGCGCTTCACTCCTGAAAACACAAATTCGCGTGTTGTGCCCAGAATCTGCAAACATAGACAATGAGGTACAACATACACTTATCAGACGGCTCTCCTCCAGAACAAGCTCCCTGATTTGGTCCAGAAGGCTGACACTCTGTTTAAGTGCAAATTTAAATCAGTCATCTTTTATAAAGCATATGGTCAGAGACGATCTATGGTCATCTCCTTTTTGTGCTTTAATGTCATCAATGTTGATTGATGTGGGAGCTTGCATTCAAATGAGTGTCAGACAATGATGATTTGACTGGATGAAGTGATAGACAGCTCTCTCCCTCTCCCTTTTATGTGCTTTCAATGCTTTTGTTAGTGTCTTTACGAAGTAAGCATAAGATACCTTTCATGAGTCAATGACAATATATGTGGTGATTACTTTGCAAATCCTCAAAAGAATGAACAATTTGCTAAAAAGGTAAATGACATGATTGCTTCTCAAAGG